AAAAAAAAAAAAAAAATTGAAGGAACAAACAAAGAAAATAATATTAAGTCGCAAACAATTAATAAATCCAGCAAATATGTATTTTTTTGTCTCATGTTAAAATGGTTTATAATCTTATTAGCAAATCAGTAACTTTAAAAATAAATAAAAAAAATACATTGAAACTATTGGAAAAGAAAAAACTAATATTCAACCAATAGTAAACTCAAAATACACCTTCAATATTGTTTATGAAGAGTTTTTTTTTTTCGATTATGTTGCACTAATTAAAAAAAATGTAGTTGCCTTTTCTTTTTACCTAGTGAATATTTTATGGTCTATTTAGTGAATGTTTTTATTTATTTCTCATTTTGGTTGATTTGTGATATAAACTCACTCTACTTTTGAGAGTTGATAGAAAAGTTATGGTATCGCGTTTGCGGACTTGTACAAGATAAGGCCATAATTAAGACTTCCACTAGATTAACACTATTCATATAAGAGCATCTCCAATGCTTTAATATTGTTATAGAATTTTTTTTGACAAATGTCAAAAAATTAAATATGTTGTGAATCATGTAGGACAAATGTTGAGTTCACAACTATTAAATTAAAAATTCATCTTCAATGCACAATGTAGTCTAATTACAATATTATCTACTTGTCAAATAATAAAATATAAATATGAATTAATAAAATTAAATAAATAATTAAATAGTTTGAAGATGGTAATAATTATTATCTCTCTTCTCCTCATTGGCTAATTAGAATGTGGAATAGAATGTGGATGAACCACATTCTTTTCTACATTGTGGACATTAATTATGTACACATCATCACAACATTTGTGATCACATTGTACATTGAATGATGAAAAATTGTGATATTAATAAATGTGTTGATTTGGAGTGTAATTTACCACTACAACATTGAGCATTGGAGATGCTCTAAGATCAACCACATTTTATCCCTTATTTGCGGTCCTAGATAGGCTTTAGATAAATAATTGAACCATGGAGTAATTTTTTGTTTGCCATTGATGAAAAAGTATGATAAGATGTGACAATTACAAAATTGTCCTTATATTTGATTTTTTTTTTTTTCCCCATATCAATCCTACCAAAATCTGCCAAAATAAATAAATACCTACCAACATCCATTCAATTGTTCTCACACTTTATAATTCCAATAATTGAACATGAAAATGACTTAGCATTGTTCATGTCAGCAAGACATTACAATGAAACTGCTTAATCGTTGTGCATGGTGATTAACAAAAAAAATAAATTATAAGGTAATTTTT